CAAGTCTTCTTCTCTGCTTTTTCTGTGGCAGAATTACAGAATTACAGCGCCACATGCTGGTCTGGCATGTATACTACATCGTTTTGTGTCGGTTTCGTGTGGACGCAGATATTTCTTGAGACCAGGAGAAAAAAAAGATAGGATAGCGTAAGCTCTGGCTTTGTGTGGACGTAGCCTTAGTCCAGTAATCAGGAGCTGTTTGACAGGCTTTTTAGTGCGCGTGCTTCGGCTGTATACCCCCTCAGAAAAAGCACACGTCAGAACAGCGCGTGAATGAAATGTTTAACGGCTCTAAAGCAGATGCAAATAATGTACTTTTGTGACTGCGAATAAGTGCAGTGTCCTCTACCCCTGAGTTAACACTGATGTGAATATATGTCGCGTTGTAGCCTACAGTATATTGAGATTGAGACGGAGGCACCAGAACTGCAGCTGACTGCACTGTAGGACGATACTACGATATTTCTTCAAAAGCAGATCGTGGAGACGTTTTTATCGTCCACGATCAAAAATCGTCATATCGCACACCACTAAGCCGAACCAATGGGCAGCGTGAGTGCAAACTGCAGTAGTCTGAAAAAATTTGGATATTTGTCCTTCCGTAGCCTACTTCATCTTTAAGTGTCTCAATTCAAATCCATCGCTTCAAATCGCCTGTCCAATTCAGCCTTCAAATCGCCTGTCCAATTCAGCCAGAAATTACTCAGTCCACCATTTTATTAGCGGGTTTATAAAAAAACAACGAATATTTGTTAACTTGGTAAAGTGGGAAAATAACAAAAAGTTTTTTTTTTTGTTAAAAAAACCCCATACATTTACACTATGGGCTGGCATAGTGTAAATGTGACCTCTAAGCTGCCTTTTAGTTTAAAAATTGACATAATCATATTTCTAGCAGTGTAATAACAATGCCCTTGACAACCATTAAGTTACTCCTTCATAATGTTATATTGACTGCTGCTTTTACCAAACACATCTGTGATGCAGTCTGCATGAACTCAATACTCTGTCTCCTTTGACCTCGGCATACTGAGCGGGTCTTGTTGCTTTTGAAATGTGTCCCCTGCCTTGCATATGCCCCCTGTCTATTCTGTTATAAGATCCCAAGATCCTTTCTTACTGGATCAGCCCATGTCAGAGCAACTCTGACACCTGGAATGAAGAGTCTTTGAGTAGAGCGGAGAATTCATCCTGCTGAACAGAAATCTATGCATAGTGTTATTATTACTGTAGTATGTCACCAGATATATGCCCTGTGGTGTGTGTGTGTTTGAATACAAATGGTGTAAGGGCTGAGGAATGCCTTTGAAGTGAGCATCTACTGACACACAAAACATGTTGCCTTTCCCCATCGTTGAGTCTCAAGGATTTTGTTTGTCTGTACAGTGATAGTTAACAGAGTTTCTACTGTTGCCCATTTGTAATGAATTATTACCATGTTTTTATAATCATTATGAAAAACCGGGATTCAAAATTCCAAGACCACTCTGATAATATGGGATTTTTTTTTAATTTAAACCCAGAAATAATCAAATAAATAAATAAAACAAAGAAATGTAAAATTAAGATTGTTTTCAGAATCTAAACTTTTTTTTAGGTCTCTGCTCAAATAAGAACATTTGTGTCATTGATCATGTGATTCTTTGTATAGAAGGTCAGATGTTTTTGAAGCTCAGTGAGGCTCAAAATGATCTTTGGAGAATCATACTGGAGAATATGTTTTCATGCATCTTGAGTGGTGCTGTCATTAAAGCAAAAGACAGAAACTAAATAATAAGATATTTTGAAATTAAACTTTTTAGTCAAACTATTATAATATAATTTGTAATGGATAAAAGTGTTTAAAATAAAAGTATGCAAAGCATAAGGTCTCAGAAAATGTGACCCAATTTATCAAAATCCTCAAGATCAAAAATCTTGTGAATGTATGTATTTATTTATTTACTTTATAAAAAAATGTATTTATAAAATTTTATAAAATGTATTACATTTTATTTATAATATTAATTAGTTTGTTTTTTATTTTACTACTACTATTAATATTATTATTATTTTATTTTTTATTTTGTTGTTGTTATTTATTTTAATGTTTTTGTGGAATGTAATCTAACACAGCCCTGAAGTCGATGGCTCTTGTTTATGTAAGGTCATAAACTTCTCCTCATGGATCTCATCTAAACAAGTGTTGTTTGAGAGCATGCTATTTTAGTTCCTGCTGTTTGTTTGATGTTGTTAAAAAATAATAAATAAGAGTGAGATCCTCCTATTTCAGATCTGAATGACCAGTCACAGTTAAATGTGATCTGTCATAAATGTGATCTGAATATCAACAGTGAATTCAGTGTCTCTGTCTGTACAGGTTGGAGGCAGAAACAGCTCAGTGATGTCTCTGAATACTCTGTGCTGCGAAAGGCGGGTGGTGATCGAATGCAGAACAACCAGAGATTTGTCTTTGGAACGCCATCGGTACAAATTCAAAAATAGCCTCATAACTGTACAGCCTCAAAACTTAAACATTACATATTTAACTGGAGACTAGTGCGATAAAATTGCTTACCAACCCTGTGCAAATTTTTGCCCAATGTCAACTAAAATACAAGTTGAACTTGTATTGAACCCTGAACATTGCTACAACAATGCCTCATATGTTTTTGTCTGGTTCAGCGAGGTCTATATCACACTGACGCTGTTGACATTGGTGACCTTCCTACAGAGGTTGACAGTCCACTGTCTGTGGGTCTTAATCAAGTTCCACCCACACCGGCATTTCCTGTGACACCCCCCACTCCATATGGTAAGACTGACACTGTACTTGATGTTTGTTATGTGAGTAAGCCTTTCACTGTCTTACTAAGCTCAGTTACTAATAGCCAAAAAAATATCTCGATATTTTTTTTCATATCAGTCGATATCGATAATTCTCACGATAAATGTAAAATTTTTATTTCTTTCAAGTTTAAAGGCAGATTTTTGCTCCAATGTGAAAGTTGTAAAAACCAGATGGTTAATTGTGGTTTCAGAACATGACTAACACTTCGTTTTTGAATTCTTTACACTTCTCCAGTCATTTTTCCTTAACAAAATAAATATCTTAATAGAAAAAAATAATTTCTTAGTTCTGCATGTTCTAGTAATGAGTAATATTGTTTCAAATCAAGAAACAAGTTTGTGTTGCCTGATAATATTAATTACATTTTAATTAACATTTAATTAACATTTTTTTGTCTTTTAGAAATACACATTTGATAGTAGCTTTAGTTAGGATGCAGATGTAGATTTATGTTCATTATCAAAATCAGTAATGTCTGTAAAAATTGTAGCAATCTCATTTTTATATGGTGAAATTTAATTATTCTGACTGTTTAAGGTGTTTTTTTAACCATTGGTCTTCCATAACATACATCTAGATCATGATAATCACAGTTAAAACCCCAAATGTAGCACCTCAATACCATGGTAAAAATGTAATATGGCTTTTAGGTATTTATGAGAAACAGTAGTCTAAATACATAAATGCATAAACGCTATAGCTTAATAACAAAAAAATACTGTAATTATATTCCATTACTCCTCCTTCAATATATTTAATACATGTCTACATTAAAAAATATAATCAAATTCGACACGAATACCCACATTTCTGACACAATACCATGGTGTAGTTAGTGCTACTACAGTAAATCCATGGTAAGTGATGGCGATTTGTAGATTAAAAAGTCTTCTTACTGTATCGATGCGCACAGTGTTTCTGCTGTTTGTCAGCGCTGTTTCATCTGCATGTAAACAGAGTTATTTGTGTTCCTCGCTGAATTCAAGATCTTCACACTGGATTTCACAGCGCTGTTCTGTGTCGCGTGAGCGAGACTCATCAGCGAGTGAACACGATCTGCTCTAGTGAAGCTCGCGCCACGCCGCTGTTTGAACTTTGATCCGAGCGGATAAACGCTCCAAGTGGCGCGCTTCAAATGACTAGCGCTCTTTTGTTCCGCCTTTGCTGCATTATATCAAACATTTATCAAGCTTCTTGTTATCGTTTATCGAGGAAATCTATATCGTGCGATAATTATCGTTAACGATTTATCGCCCAGCCCTGAGCACTAGTTACTATTATAGTGCCCTTGTGTGCAGGGCCGTTTTAACCATTGGGCTAGGCGGGGCTTAAGCCCCGGGGCCCGAGCAAGGAGGGGGCCCGTGATTGGCTGTAGAGCAGATTGACAGACCATCGGTAGTGCCGATCGCCCACGCCCCTGATTTATTAGCGCTGTTATTTAGTGGAGCTTTGCCGTAAATTCCATGCATTATCATTAGTAATTCAAACGTCAAATGCGTTTATTCTATATTTAACTTTTGAACCACCTGCACGA